CTTGAAGAAAAAAAAAAGGTAGGGGGATTTTTCTAGGAAAATTCCTTGTTTCCTTAGAGTTCTTTTATGCTATCTCAAACTGACCTGAAATGCATTCGCTCATTGTCATTTTTCTGTCCTTTTTGTCAATGTCTTAAAAGATTAAAAGAAGTAGGTAGGTTGCAAGCTGTCATTCTCCAAATAAAATGTCCTAAAACATGGCTCCCTTCCTGCAAGGGACACAGGCATCTAACTTGTGAGCTGACACTGTTTATTTTGTAGGCCTTTGAATTGGATGCTTTATAAGCACGGACTACTGTCATTCCAAAACAGTTGCACCAATTGCTTTCATTTTTGCATTTTTTTTTCTCAAGATAATCACAGTCTGTCAGTTAAAGTTGAATGACACAGTAAAATGTGCCTGTATCTACTAAGGAGATGCGTTTGTGGTTTCTTGTTTGTTTGTTTTTTTTTAACTTTCTTTTTTCCAAAAGATTATGCATTTGAGCAAAATCCCATTCAGTGTAAATGTATTCATTTTGCTACATGGTTTTCTGGTCAGCAATTTTTTTTAAATGGAAGCATAATTTTTTTATGGTATCAAAATTAGGGTGATCTCTAAATATCGCTTTAAAAGTTGTCAACATGATGTTTCCTTAAAATGAGTCAAATTAAATTGTTGATATGAATGAACAAGTCAATCATTGTTACACTGATTAAAGAGACTGTTCTGATGACCCACCCCACCTCTTTTACTATGTGCACTTCTCTCTTCAGGCTTTATTGTATTTTCCTGCTCCTTCCATTTTTTTTTTTTTTTCATTCAGCAAACAGTAGTTAAATGCCATTTGCTCATTTGTGAATCAAACATGGCTACCATTACATTACTTTTTGTCTGTGGAATGTATGGAGGAAAAATGAGATAGGAGTGCAATGTTTAAGTCTCCAAATATTAAAACCAAACAACAAAACCCACTAGCATTTCTATTTCTTTGATGTTCTGTAATCTTCTATAGGCTAGAGCTGCATTTTAAATATCTAACTGAATACCAAATATCCTTCTTGAAAGATCAAATTTTAGGGTCTATTGAGTTGACCATGGTCAGACCTCTTGACTGTCCCTCATGTTTAATATCTGATGTCTATCCAAAATGAGTATTGCTAGGAGAGAAAGTCACCTCCTTGTTGACATCCATCATGGGTATAATAACTTATTCTCTAGGCTTAACTTCTAATGTTATTTTTCCTTTGATTTATAGTATTTCTAATCGTCTCCTTCTATCTCTAGTGCAGTACATTGCCTGTTCTATATACATCTTTAACCTTACAGGAAAAGACGTTTCAATGAAAAGCAAATATATTTTTATGTGTCCCTTAATTGGCAAAAGAAAATAAGTAAAGGGTAATTCTACTTCATTCACTGTATTCCAGTGTTTTCCAAATCATGTTCAGGACTACTGCTTCTGGCAAATGTTCATTGTGGTCTGAGAATAAATGATCCTAGACCATAGTCCCAACCCACTCCTCAGACATTGATAATAAATGTTAGTGTTTTAATGAAGCTTAAGAAAGTTTTGGATCAGAAAAACACTTTTCTTTCTAAACACATCTTGAAGAAACTTTAGAAAAGTTTTCTTTTTAACACTGGTTTACATATCTTTCAGCAATTTCAAATAATATAACCAGGAATGCTTTGGAAAGATGCTTCTGGGTTTTTGTTTTAACTCTAAGGAAAATTTCTGCCACTTTAAATGATTTAGTGTCTACTTTAAATTTCATAAGTATATCTTAGTGAATTTAACTTTATCACCTAAAGTATTCAAAACAAAACAATAAAATTGTTTTACTATTTTAAATTTTTAAGCATTATTTTTAGGATCTGCACTTATGACCATCACATCATGCTGCTATCTGTTGAAGATGGTCCAAATTTCTTTACAGAGTAGAATTAATACTAGTGAACAATCTTTGGTAATACTTTATCTAAACACTTTAAGAAATTGAATCATGATGGATTGATACTGACTATTTTTACATAATCTTGTTAGAAATTATATGAAAAACATTTCAGTTAAACCTAGGAAAAATACACTATTTAGTATAGATTTTGCAGGACTCTACACTCTATTAATGAGCATTAAGCAGTTCTTTTTTGCTTTGCTTTATTTGCAAATCGTTTTCACAAAAAATCAACAAAGTTCCTTTAATAATTCCTGGGTAAACTGTCTGTTATCAGACAGAAAAGAGTAAAGCTGAATCACTTTACATTTCTCTAAATATAGTTCAATTTTTAATTCATTAGGACTTCACTACAGGCCAAGCAGTCATTTGTAGAGCTGGCTTTTTAAACTGTTTGAAGAGTATTGGGTTTCAATATACAAAGGATTTTTTTTTTCACTTTGCATAGAGATCTGTATGAATGTAATGATCAAATGTTTATTCTGTGCCTACTAAATGGCAATGGAAGGCATTGATTTTTTTTTGTACTTTTAACAATAAGAGAAACTAGGAAAAGAATCTCAGAGAAATTTTATTGTATTTCTAAAGGTAATAAAATTCAGTCATCTGTCTTTCTTAAAGAAAATGCTGTTAGTGTATATTTTGAGTTGGTGGTAGCTTTTATTTAGAGTGCTCCATGATCTTTGTAGCAAAAGTAAACAATGTCTTTATGACCTTGGTTGGAGTACATATTTTCACAAAATACTTTGAGCATAAAATGTTTATTAAAAAAAAAAAAACTCTGGGGTAAAATACTCAAATATACTTTTAAAATTAGTTAAAATATTGATGGCTGGCTCTTTTTCCTACATGTATAATTCAATAGAGAATACTTAATTCTTGTAGCTGTGATGAAATCTTTACTGCTTATGTGCTGTGCTCAAGAAAAAAACAGCAAAAAAAAAGCAAGGGTTTGTTCCTTCACAGAACTGCCCAAAGCTCTCTGATGAACAATGGTGACATGAATGTGTAATATTGACTTCTTGAAGATAACCATGAGAACATTTTAATGTTACTTGCCTTATAAATTAGAAAAGGTGTGGATATCATTTTTTGTAAATAATGATTTTTACAAGTGTTTTTTCCTTCATAATTTTCCCAATCACCCATTTTACAAAATCCTGAATATGCAATTATTTATCATGGCACATTACTGCCACTAGGGTTCGCATTGCAGGACAAAGTTTAATTATACTTGAGAACGAGATCAAATATATAAGTAAGTTACTATTTAAATGTGATTTTTTTCTGGAAAATAAATGAAAAACAAAAATAAGTTGAGTTGTGAACCTCTTTTATTACCAGCCTCTTAAAGTTTTACCACATTTCTGGAAAACTTCGTTGCATATTTAGGGTGGGCATGGTGGGCAGAAGGTCTGGCACAGTGCAAGGGCTATAGAGTTGGACAAATCTCATTCTATAATTTAACTATAGTCTTGAGCATGTTACTCAATGATTCTTCATTTCCTTATCTTAAAAAAAATAGAGTTACTATTCCCTTATCCTAGGGTCACTGAACAGATTAAATGAGATAATATTTATCAGTCACCTAACAGTTCCTAACTATTATATAGTAGTCAACAATCCTTTCCTGTTCTTATTTTTATGTGAATAGGGATTGAGATGGGCCAGAAAATGTTAATGCTCTTTCTCCAATGCTATCCTAATCCTTATGCGCTCTACCGTTATGCAGATGTATTGCTATTGACAGCCAATTCTAGCTGCACTGAGCACTCATTAACGGACATGCCCAAGCTAGGTGCTTAGGGCACCATCTTTTTCTATTTCCAATGATTGCCCACTATGTGAAGGTCCCTTCAGGGTCTGGTTTTGTTTGCTTTGGGTTGGGGGAAGGGCTCTGGGGTTAGAAGAGGGATAGTTATTAAGGAGGAAGGGCCTATTATTTATGTCAGGTGGGTTCTTAACCCCAAACAGCCTCCATTTCAAATCTTCGTAAACTTTAAGGATTGGGGAGAGTGGTGTCAAGGAAAGTGTAACGTGAAAGTTTGTAATGCCCAAAAGATAAGCCGATGAGTTCCAAGCGGCCCTGGGCATATTATTCAATATCTCAGAATCTCAATTCTCTAAATCTGTAAAGGACTAACAACGCTTCCTGCTTTTTTTTTTTTAAATTTGCGTTATTTATTTATTTATTTTTGGCTGTGTTGGGTCTTCCTTGCTGCACGTGGGCTTTCTCTAGTTGCAGCGAGCGGGGGCTACTCTTCGTTGTGGTGCCTTGTCTTGTAGTGAAACCTGGGCTCTAGGCGCTCGGGCTTCAGTAGTTGTGGCCCATGGGCTCAGTAGTTGTGGCCCGCGGGCTCAGTAGTTAGGCACACGGGCTTAGTTGGTCCTCGGCATGTAGGATCTTCCCGGACCAGGGCTCGAACCCGTGTCCCCTGCATTGGCAGGCGGATTCTTAACCACTGTGCCACCAGGGAAGTCCCAACAGTGCTTTCTTGAAAGAGTTATTGGGAGGACTAGATAAAACTATAACTGTTTGCCAGTACCTGGTAAATGTGAGCTCTATTATCAACCATCTGTGCCTTGGGGTGGTGGAAGGCAGATCAGGGGTCGGGGGAAGGGAAAGGGGTGCTTTCCTTTCTCTCTGTACCTCGCACTTCCCGTCCTAGGAACCGGCAGCATTTCCCACTCCTGCCCCTGACATCTGCAAAAGGAAACTGATGAGGGCTCTCAGGGCTGCCCCTTGAGTTCCCAGATGTCCCCCTCGCTACAGAATGACTCGGCTTCTCTCCAGCTCACGGCCACCCCAAGGCACAGCCAGGCTCAGGGCAGCCCCCTCTGGGCAGTGACGAGGAGATCCTCTACATCCTCAGGCGGCTCAGAGGACTACGCAACTACTATGTCTGCCTGGGGCGGGCCAAGGACTCTGTTTGAGAAGGTCACCTTGGAGACAGGCCGCGGAGTCCAGGGGGAGTGCGCAGGCATTCGCGGGCAGAGGGAAGCCTGGGAGACGGGAGCCTCGCCCCGCGCTGGTCCCGGCAGCGGAAGAGCCCGTGGTCCGGGAGGACCCCCGCCGAGTCGCGTCTGCGTCTCCAGCACTGCCTTAGGTAAGTGCGCCCTCTCCGCAGCGCGTCTGGGCAGGAGCAGAGAAGATTGACCGAGGCAAAATGCAAGTTCGAGGATCGAGGGGGCTAAGCGGGGAGGGCCTTGTGTTAGAAATGGCCTGCCTGCCTTGTCCACGACCTCTCTTTCGAATGCCTTATTCCTCCTCCCTCCAAGAAATAAGAAAAAATTGGCCCCAGTTTTTGGAACTGGAAGCATGTCCTGGCCTTTTGTTTCCTGCCTGCCTGTGTGTCTCGACTTTACAGTGTTGCCCAGTGCAGAGCTGGCCAGCCGGTCCGATCGTGGAGCAGCATGAGTTCTGAGCAGTCTGCCTAAGGTCTGGCGACACCGGCGGCCTCAGCCCCTCTGGACCTCCAGGTCCCAATTCTGGCCTGCGGGGCAGCTTTGGAAACAGGTGAGCAGACCGAGGTCTGTCAGTGTCACTTTAAGGTTGGAACCTGAATGACCCACTTAAACAGGCTCAGTATGTCTTGTTCACACATATACACGCTCACACAGGCACACTCATGTACACAGACACACTCAAACACACATGCATTCAGTGCACAGACACATCACACACAAAGGTGCACACACCAACATACAAAGGCACACACTCATGTACACAGATAATCACTCATACACACAGGTACATACACAAAGAGATGCTCACATAGGCACTCACACAGGCACACACATTTATGTACACACTCACTCATACACACAGCCTCACACACTCATGGGGACACACTCATGCTCATACACACAAGCACATGCCCACAGAGACATATATATGCTCACACAGAGATGCTCACACCCATGTACACACACTCTCACACACAGGTCCACAATCACACCCCCCCCACACTGCCTCGCTTCCTAACACACAGTACCTCTGCTGTATTTGCGTGCCCTTCAGTACCCTTTGCCTCTGTCTGACCTGACACTGATCACACTGGGGTTTTAGGTTGTGTTCTTGTCTGCCCTACCCACTTCAACTGCCAGCTCTTTGAAGGCAGGGACTGTTTTAGTTCTATTTTAGTGCCTAGCACAGTGTCTCCCTGTTGGGGCTCTCAGATTTACAGATTATAAAATAATTCCAATGAATGTCTAAACTTGTATGTAGGCAATAGGGCAGTAGAGTTACAGTCCAAGTTCTGGGAAGTCCATTCCTACTACCAGCTTTTTCACAAGCATTTGTGAGAGGAGGTAGGTTTTCCAATAAATTACTTCATTAAAAGTTCTGGGCTTCCCTGGTGGCACAGTGGTTGAGAGTCCGCCTGCCGATGCAGGGGACCCGGGTTCGTGCCCTGATCCGGGAAGATCCCACATGCCACGGAGCGGCTGTGCCCGCGACCCATGGCCGCTGAGCCTGCACGTCCGGAGCCTGTTGCTCCGCAACAGGAGAGGCCACAACAGTGAGAGGCCTGCGTACCGCCAAAAAAAAAAAAAAAAAAACAAAAGTTCTGTTGGCTCTTTACAAAGTAAATCACTGTTGCTTGAAAAAAAAATACCCTTTGGAGAAGCAGCTCATCTTAATTTTTAAAGTAATAGCAACAACAACAAATGTTAATTAGCAAAATATCATTGAAATTAAATTTGGGGAGGCAATAAAAATATTGTTTTCTGGTGTAGGATAATATCGTTCTTCTACATATGGCTATCATTTCTCAGTGACTTTAACCTCGTCTGCAGTTAAGTATTTTTGTTGCAGCTTAATATATGCTTGTGTGAATTAAGTATGCTATTGCATAAATAAAAGTTATCAGATGGTACTTTCCTGGTGGTCCAGTGGTTAAGACTCCGTGTTTCCACTGCAGGGGGAGCGGGTTCCATCCCTGGTCAGGGAACTAAGATCCCGCATACCACGCAGTGCAGCCAAAAAAATAAAAATAAAACAAAAAAGGAAGTCTCTACTTCTTATAAATTCTGAAATATTTTTAAAAAGAGTTATCATATTTCCAGTTATACTGACCAGAATAACAACATATACTAAAAATCACTCTTTAGGAAACCCCACTTCCCTATTCCAAAATGCTTAAAAAAAAAGGATCTGTGTACTTTATTTAGAATGAGTCTCTGTGTTATACTAAAATATTTTCAGATCTTTTGTTCAGTATTTTACAAAAGTTTTCTTCCATAGGTTATGATGATGTCAGACATTGCTAAAGACAGAACGGCTCATTTACTGAAGAAGAGGGGCAGTGTGTCTTCTTTAAGTAGTCATGAGTTCCAGCGGAAAGAGCCTCGTGGGCGCACCAAAGAGTGAGTGACTGGATGTCCATTAACACACTCAATTACTGAATAAACAGGTTCATAATATTTATCAGGAGGGAAAAAATGCATTTCCTTTGGGACATAAAAAGGGAGAAAAATGGGCAAGTACAAGGTGTAGGTCATCTTTGGGGGCCATATTTTTTAAAAGAACGAGAAAAAATAGTAACTAGATTTATCGTGGTGATCATTTGGAAATGTACAGAAATACTAAATCACTGTGTTGTGCACCAAGAAAAAGAAAACAGAGAAAAAGAACAAGGAAATTTAAGTGATAAGTTGATCACAGCAGCATTTTTTACTATTTCAGACACTACCCCAAAAAATCACCTACTGAAAAGAATGTCATATGCAATGTAGACCAGCTACTTCTTAACTGACTCCTGAATTCTTCTCCTCAATATTATATGAATACATCGTTTTTGCATTATTGTAATCAATATATACATATACAATGCATTTAACATTATTTTAAACAAATTTTGTAATGTATTTTCATAGTCTTTGTGCATATCCTTTTAAATGGTTGCATAATACAATATGTTGTCAGCTTATAATTCTGGGTTAGCTAACCATTCCCCAATCATTGAGCATTTTAAGTTTGTTTCCACTTTTAAAATTTTTTACTATATAAGAAGTCTCTGATTGTTTTCTTCCCCGAAGTATAATTAGTGGGTCAAAGGATAATAAGTACATTTTTTGGCTCTTGCTACATATTGCATTTGCTCTCCTAAAAAAGATGAATTAATTTTTAATACTTTCATGGCATTTTTTTTTTTGACTGCCATCGGGAGGAAAACCAAACAAATTATCCAATGCAGAGGTCAATTAATTTATATTATAAACTTTCCTTCTTAAAAGTATCTACACGATTGAAAGATATAGCAGGGCTTCCCTGGTGGCGCAGTGATTAAGAATCCACCTGTCAATGCTGGGGACACGGGTTCAAGCCCTGGTCCAGGAAGTTCCCACATGCCGCGGAGCAACGAAGGCCGTGCGCAGCAACTACTGAGCCTGCGCTCTAGAGCCCGCGAATCACAACTACGGAAGCCCACGTGCCTAGAGCCTGTGCTCCGCAACAAGAAAAGCCACCGCAATGAGAAGCCCACGCACCGCAACGAAGAGTAGCCCCCCGCTCGCCACAACTAGAGAAAGCCCACGCGCAGCAACGAAGACCCAATGCAGCCAAAAATAAGTAAATAAAATAAATAAATAAATTTAAAAGAAAGAAAGAAAGATGTAGCATATTAATCCCCATGATTGGGAAGCAGGAGCTGGTGTGTCTGTTGGAACAGAGACCAGAAGAACTGGAAGAGATTTACGTTCGAATTCTGAAACCAAATTGTTCTGCTCTCAGAATGTATTAATACACTTACTCAAAATTCTACTTTTCAACCCTAGATGATTGTGGATTACAAGTCCTGTACAAATGCTCTCTTTCACAGATAGGAAATATAAAGGAGTAGCAATCTCAGTGTACATCAGAAGTAAAGCTGGGAGAATAATTAACCTCTATAGCTTTTGCTTCTGATCCTAAGTCATTTTGACTGCTATTTCCAAGATTTAAGTGTAAGAGTTTTTTTTTAATTATTTTAAAATAATTGTTAGCTTAAATTCAACTTTTTAGAAGCAAATATTATAATAATAATCTGACATAAATCCTGGTCCCATGATTTAAAAAGCACTGTTCTTATCCAAAAACTAAACTATCATCCCTACTTGCATAAGTTTCATTTACTTCTTCCCTTTCAAAGCAAATAAGAAAGTCAAGTATATAGAATCAGAACATGGCCCAATCTGAAGAATTAAAGATCACTCTTATTTTATTGATGAAGTATAAAAACAAATTAAAAGGTAACAAGAACACGAAAATAGTTTTAGCAACACATGAGGAAAGATTTTTTTTTTACTAACAAATACATTTAAGTGATAATTATCTTGATATATTTCAAAATTAGAAACAGGGACTCTCAAACAAAATATTCAGAATGTATCCTCTATTGGAGCCTTTTTTATTAAATAGCAAATGAACAGATTCCAAGCATGCTTGCAATGCAGAGGCCATTTAGGAGGCTGCCTCCTAACCCTAACTCCCACTTATTTTCCGTCGTCTTCATCCTTGCCAGGGACCAGAATGTATGGGTGATTCTCCTTCCTGAAATGGGTCTTCAACTAGTAGAAAAACTCTGAAAACTTAGTGGCTATCACATGCAGCATTGTTTTGAATTTGCAGTGTTTTTTTGGAAAAACATATGCCTTTCACTTGAAAGTTTTCTCAAAACAATTTTTTGAATAGATTAATTTCAATAGTATAAAGCATATGCTGAAGTATATTGAGGACCTAATACATTATGTCATTTAATCTCCCCAGCATTAATCCTACTAGGTAGACATCATTGTTACCATTTTGCTATGAATTAGCTGAGACTTATAGGTCAAGGAACAATTTAAGGATTAGGATACAGTCCTAAATCATGAGTATGGCCAAAAGGGCCCGCAGACTCTTGCCTTCTCTAGTTCCGTCTTCCCCACTATCCTGCTTGCATCCTACTCTTGGGCCATTCCCACCTTCCATATTTACAATCCCTCGGTGCTCTGCCTTGCCTCCAGCCATTGCCTCACGTTGCTTTCCCATGGGGTATCCTTGTCTGGAATGCTCGTCTTACACTCTGGCTTCCTTCTTTTCCTCCTTCAGAATTTAGCTCCATCTCCAACTCTCCAAGAAGCTCTCTATCACAGTTTCCAAACAGGTTCATTTTGCCTGACGCACAACAAGCCAAAACGCTAATATGCTGAGGTTTGCAGCAAAGAGTTTTCATTCGCAAGGCAGCCAAGCGAGGAGATAGGAGAACAAATCTCAAATTCACCTCCTCAAAACCAAGGGGATCGAGAGTTTATGGGACAAAGAATAAAGAAGCAGGATGGTATGAGGCGTGGGAAGTGCGGGGAGGGTGAGGAAAGGTGATTGGGAAAAGATGCAGTAATTGTTGTTCCGTGCAGAACAACAATTCCGTTTGTTAACAATTCAACATTCCGTTGTTCCGTTTCTAGCCTACAGCCCTCTGCACATTCTGAGGGTGGAGTTTTGGGCCCTCTGATGTTAAAAGGTCACTGATTGGACACTAGCGTCTGCCCAGTTGAAGGGTCAGTGGTCCTATCCAGCCTTAACCAGCTGACCTCGAATTAGATGCAGTTGACTCCAAGTTCCTAAACAATAACTTGGGCAAACATCTTATTGTTTAGGTTATGCACCGCTTGGAGGACATGGAAGTCTTAAAACAACCTTGATTAGCGAAGGCAGGTGAAATGGATGTAACCCACGGTTTCATAACTACCCAACTACAACCGCTTCCACTTCCAACTGGGTCGGACGCTCTTCCTTTCTGCTCCTGCTGCTTTCGCCTTCTACATGGTACTGTATTTGGGTGTTTTCTTGTCTATCTCTCTCATTAGACTGTGGACTTACTGGCCTTTATAACAGTAAACACTCTGATAAGGAGGGCAAAGAAGCATAGGAGGTAGACCTACTTGGAAAACAGTTTCTTAGATGTGGCATAAGCTCTCAGCATAAGTTCATCCACATTCTTGGTTTCTCTGTGGTCTTCTATAGAAGTAACTAACACTTAACATTGATCCCTGGGCATAATGGATACCTGAAATGCCTTCTGAATTGTAAAAGGAAGATTGAATTTATATTCAATATAATTATTGTTAATTGTTTTTAGATTTGTCTCTTTAAATTATGTTTTCATCATGAGGTAATTTTTATGCTTTATTCTTTAAGAAAAAACATTTTAAGCTGGTTTTTACTATACCAACATCATAACTGTTAGCTCATTGGCATATTTCTTCCTATAGCTACCTAGTTGTCATCACACTTTATCTATAATTTTGAATTTTGTTGCTTTTCAATTAAATAATTGATAATAATAAGGGTGCTAAGCTAAATTTTACTGAGCCCTTACTATGACCTCATTTTTGTTTCAGAGACGCACTGTATCAGGAGTTGGCAAACTATGACCCGAGGGCCAATTCCAACCTGCCATCTGTTTTTGTATAAAGGTTTTTCCATGGTTGAAAAAAATCAAAAGGAGAATATTACTTTTTGTCATGTGAAAATTATAAGAAACTCAACTTTCAGTATCCATAAATAAGGTTTTTACGGGACCACATCCATGTTTATTCATGTATGTATTGTCTCTGGCTGCTTTGACACCATATGGCAGAGTTGAGTAGTTGCAATAGACGTGCAGGGTCTGCAAAGTGGAAAATATCTGCTATATGGCATTTTACAGAAATATTTGCTGACCCCTGTTCTATAAGAGAGATGCTGTTAGCATCTTCATCTTACAAATGAAGAAACATGCTTAGAGAGGTTGAGGCTCCAAAGCTACAGAATCAGCAAGTGGCAAAACGGGCTTTTGTTTACAGTCAAAAATTCTCATTCTCTGAAAACTGGCTATCTACGTGTAACTTGCATCAATGAAACTCTTCTACTCATTCACCAGAACCTTCTGTTTCCCATCCATGGGTAAGAGCAGGTATTTACAATGACGTCTTTCTTGTTGGAAACAGGCTTTGGCAGCTTTCAAAGAGTATTTGAACAGATGTGCTGCTCTCATATCCTTAAAATGGAAATAGAAGCCTGAGATTAAATTACTTTCCCAGGATAATGTGACATGATATCCAGGCTTCTTATCTCTGAGGCCAGTAGTTCAACTGGTAGGTCAAGCCTAAGATTGAAGACTGAAGAGTCTCTCTTTTGCCTCAAACCAAAATTACAGTGATATCATGAACCAGAACTTTGATGGATCCCAGAGCTCTCCACTTGAACCCACTGGTGGCATCTAATGCAGTAGTTAGGCCACATTATATTCTTCCACTTAGTCATTTATTCAAGGTTTATTAAGCTTCCACTTCGTGCCCCATGTAAGGCATATAAAGGTGGCTAACTCTAGGGTTGTTCTTCTCTCGAGAATCTCATTTTTCAA